CATCGTCCTCAAGGCCTGGTGGGCCAGGATGTGCTCCACTCTCTCCTCCTCCCCCTTCATCTGCTCCAGCGTGCTTCGATCAGATATGTCCCTCTCTGGGAGGTGCAGATTCAGTGCCATTATTTGAAATAAATTCTTCTGGGAGTAGGGGCATGTGTCCACATAGTAGTTGGGATTGGGCCTGGCCCCTCAGACCTCTCCACTTTGGGGCTGGCCCCTCAGACCTCTTCTCCACTTTGGTTCCCTACTCCATGCCGGCATGTATATTCCTTAAATTTTGAAACATTAAACTTTTTACAGCTTAGAGTATTGCTGAGAATATAGAAGTGAGAACTTAATGAGAAATAAACTAATAAAATCACCTTTGAATAGAATTTGGCAGTAGCTTATAAAATTATGCCTGATGCTTTTGTATTTGTATTACTTGGATACTTGGAGACATGTATAAGAATGTTAAAAGCACCATTATTAAAACAGTAAACCGTATCTGCCTTTGTAACCCCTCTGGATCATTTTAGAACCTCCCAGAGGTTCTAAATGGGCAGTATTTAGAGGACAGTATTGCTCACGTTAGGAAACACTTTAATATATAGTAAGCTAATATTTATTAAATCGTCTTTTCATTGTTTTATAATACTTTGCAGTTAGAGATTATATAAAATATAAGTGGTTTTATTACTAAGTGATTTCGTTGTAAAGTAGATGTCACTTAGAAAAGAGTAAGAAGGCCCCCACGATTAGAGTAACTAATATCAGAGCTTAAAATTTAGAGTTAGCACCCAGAGATTCTAATCCTAATTGTGAGCTTTTTTTTTGGGTCTGAGTATCAGTAAAGAATCTGAATTTCTTTTGTAGTTTTTAGAGACTAGTAAAGTCATGACGGGCATTAGGACCTCTTCTTAAAGGGAACTATCGTTGGTGGTAGAGTTGCCTCACTCAGGTGTCATATTTTACTGTCTAGCCCAATGTTCAGCTGAAGTAGTAGCTAAATGCATTACGTTTTATATATGTTTTATATAAACATAGATGGAAAGGCAAGGGGTATATAATATAAACAAGCTTCTGTTAAAAGCTTTAATATGCCATAGTATATACATTGACAGACAGTTGCCTAATAAGTCTGTTTCCTTTAATACACTCAATAAAAATAATTTCTTGACTGAAAGAAGTCAATAGTACTGTGAAATTTTCAGTGACATTTCTTTACATTAACAATAAAGATTAATTTTGTGAGGATGTGTATACAAATGGCTCTTCTTTTTTTGTTTTTCAGAGTTGGAGGGTTTTCCAGTATATGAATGTTTTATTGATAATGGCAGAACACCCACCGCTACTGGATACAACTCAGATTTTAAGTAGCGATATTTCTCTTCTATCTGCCCCTATTGTAAGTGCAGATGGAACACAACAGGTAAGGAAACTGAGATGTGTATTCCCTTAGGTCTAGTATATATTTATTTTTTTCTGAAGAAGTTTACATTAATGAGGCTATTTCTAAAATCACTTCTAAAATGCCCCAATAATAAATGATCAAATTTCTCATGTGCATATTGAGTTGCCAAGTAGTTTTCGGATAGTAATTCATTCTGTTGTACATAGGGGTCGCTATGAGTTGGAACTGAGGCGATGCCTCTTAATAACAACAGAGTTGTTTTTGTTTTACTGTGGATAAGCAATGGACTAGCCCATGAGGTTTTTTTAAAGTAATTGTGACATATCCTTTAATGATTATTGTAACTCATTACGGAATCATGTTACGGAATAAAGGAACTGCTTTTATAGTAATCGAACTGTAATATTCCAGTGTTCTTGCCCGTTTTCCTTTCTTCACTAGACTCCCCCATCCCTGAAGCAAATACCCATTTCTGAAGATCTAGAAGGTCTCGATTCAGGACTTCAAATGTGGCTCTATGCTTGCACGCTCAGCATCCTTATAATAATCCTAAAGCTTGGAAGCTAATATGTGCTAATCAGTGGGCGTGCTTACTAGGTATTTTAGTATTGTAGGTGGGGAACAAAGACTCAGACATAAATAATAATGAGGAGAAGGAATAATTCATGGTTTACTATTAGCTTACCATGTAGCAAACATTGTTCTAACAACTTCATATACAATGGTTTAATTCAACAGTTCTGTGAGTAAGGTATATATGCCGGCTTCTATTTTGCAAATGAAATAATGAATTTCAGAAATGCTGAATAACTTTCACAAGATAATGTAGTTGCTTGTAGCCTGGTCAAATTTTGTTACTTTATAAATTCAGTTTCTAAATTATGATTTATTTATAAGGCATTACCTTTTTAACTATGGTTTTGAAAAATCAAGAGCAATTAGCTTAGATTCTAAATTTTTCTTTCTTGAAAACATGGCCTAAAGAGTATATCCTGATTTTAATGTTGATATATGCTGAGATTATATTTTTTTACATTAACTTCATTTTTCTTGGTTTTTTGGTGATAGTTTTATCGATAGAAATTCACATACACACTTTCATAGTCACTTTTAATAAGAGTTGTATACACATCATCACAATCAGTTTTAGCGTTCCCTCCCCCTCCAACTTTATTATTTGCTCTTCATTTCCCCTCGCCATCCCTATCCCCATCCCCATCCCCATCCCCATCCCTGGCCCCAATAAGCAATTGCACCAGTGATTCTTTTTATGCATCCACTCCATCTGTGTTTCATAAACTGGGAAGCATAATAGAAACAATAAAAACCACAAAGAAACAAATAAATAATAATAAAATAAAGGTAAAAATAAATATAAAGATTAAGAAAGAAAAGATTGACAGCAATATTAAGTTAAGCCAGAAAGGAAATTTCTGCCGTGAAAAAAGTGAGAAAAATGTAAAACCTATAGCAAATTCAGGTTGTGTCAAGAGAGGGATGCCAATTGATCAGGTATATTATTATATTATAGCTCTATCCACCATAATCAAGTTTGCCATAATCTCTGTCTGATAGCCAAGCTGTTTATGTCCCTCCACTGTGGCCAGAAGGGATCTGTCTGCCTGAGGCTTACTCCTGCTAGGTTCTCTGCAGATGGACTTTGGACTCTAATGTCCTCCATAGCCTTCTACTAGGTGTTCACAACTTAATCTCTGATACTTTTCCCTTCATCGTATTTGGATTTTGTTATTATCATCTTTGGATCACACCAACTGGTGTGCTTCTTCCATGTGAACTTATTTGATGCCTCATTTAGATGGCTGCTTGTCTTCAAGCCTTTAAGACCTCAGACACTACTCCATTTAATAGCCAGACCACCTGCTGTCTTCACCACACTTTGCTGTAGCGCCCTTCTCTTCAGTGATCGCCTCATGGAGGCGAGGATTGAGCAGGGACAGTGTACGAACTAACTGGTCTTGGATTGGGGCTAAAATTAAGGGGGAGTCATCTGCTTGTCAACGGGTTATCAACTTGGTTTACTTTAGCGATAATATAATCATTTTATGAAAAACAAGCAAACCCCTCCCCAAAACAAAAAGAAAAACATTGTCAATCATCAATAATTTATTCCAGTGGCATAGAATGTAAGGTTCTGTTGGGAACAGGAGTTGAGGCGAGTATAGTCTAGCTGCAAACTGCAATCCATGAGTAGTTTTATACAGACTGAATTCTTAAATGATTAAGTGCCGTTTACATTGAGCATGAGGGTTGGTGGTAGGGAAATTTCCCATATCATTCCTTACAAGGGCAGATCTCTGCCTGACCCTTTGAAACCTGTCATATTAATGCAAGGAAGGGATTGAGGTAGAAAATATATGGTAATTCTGTGTGTCCCCTTCATTGGAAGCCCACTGGAGCAGTGGTTGCACCGAAGGTCCAACAACTATTACTTCTACAGTCTTAGAATGGCCGTCCTGTGCTTCCTCTGTCAGGAAATTTCAGTCCTAAGTCCAAGGGCTGCACGTAGTTTTTGAGGTAGGGCTCAGTTCATTCAGATGGACTTCCAGGTCCTCGCTTGACCCTTGGGTGAGGCCCTGTTCCCTGTAAGACCAGCATCTAAGGTGCTCATAATGCTTGGTCCGTAGCATGGTTCACCATGGTTTGGGCAGAAACCTATTCAAAGTGTCTCCCCAAAAACAGAACTGGGTGTATTTTGCCCTTTAGTTCCCTACAATTATTGTTCAGTATCCCTTCCCAGTGTGAGGTTGCGCCTCCACATTTACCCACCCCCATATCCACCGATAGACTTATAAATGCCTTCTCTGAAATGTAGATGATCCCCTCCTTTAGTCTTAATTTGATTTTCCAGTAATATTCTCTCAGGCCTGTGGATGGCCTGTGGATTTGTTACAGCTTTGACTCAGTGTTGTATGGTGTCAAGTGGGTGGTCTTCTCCCTCTCCCCTCCCGAAGGAGTGACCCCAGCTGATGGAAGGTCCCTTCTTTTGCGGTGGTTCTTATGAAGTGAATGTGAGTGCGGTCATGTATGGTTCATGGGTGGTAAACGGACTTTCTACCCCCTTGGGAATTAGACTCTAAGACAACGGCTCTAAACCTGGGGGTCGAACAGCCCTTTCAAGGGGTCACCCGATTCGTAACAGTAGCAAAATTACAGTTTTGAAGTAGCAACAAAAACAACTTTATGGTTGGGGGGGTCACCACAACTTGAAGAACTGTATTAAAGGGTCGTAGCATTAGGAAGGTTGAGAACCACTGCTCTAAGATATGTTTAACTGGTGTTTCTCCTTGTAGCAATGGACTCATATAATATTTGTCCTTTTGTAACTGACTAACTTCACTCAGTATAATGGTTTCCAAGTCCTTCCATGTCATGCGGTGTTCCATACTTTCATCATTTTTTTAGGCATGCGTAGTAGTCCATTTATGTACCATCGTGTTTCTTCATCCATTCTTCCACTATTGAGCACTTGGGCTGCTTCCGGTTTTTTTGCTCTTACGAACTGTGCTGCAGTAAACGTCAGAGAGCATACATCTAACTCGCCCAGTGTCTCTTATTTCTTTGGGGTATATGCCCAATGGTGGTATTGCTAGGTTATATGGGATTTCAATTCCCAGTTGCTTTAAACATCACCATACTGTTTTTCATAGTAGTTATAAATATATTTACACGCCTACCAACAGTTTACACAAGTTCCATTCTCTTCAGAACCTCTCCAGTATTTGTTGTTTTATGTTTGTTTTTTTTTAATTGGGTTAGCATTGAGGATGTAAGGTGGTTTCTCATTGTGGTTTTAATTTGCATCTCCCTGATAACTAGTGATTATGAGAATTTTTTCATGTATTTGCTTTTTCTTTTTTTTTTAGTTCCAAAGATTTTATTTTTATTCCAAGTTGACAAAAAAATCTTTGTGTTTTCATTTATATCACTGTGAATTAATGGCTTCGGGATTTTTTTATTAACAAATCATTTTATTGGGAGCTCTTACAGCTCTTATAACAATCCATACATCAATTGTATCAAACACATTTGTACATGTGTTGCCATCATCATTTTCAAACATTTTTTTTTCTCCTTGGACCCTTGGTAGTAGCTCCTCTTTTTTCCCTCCCCCACCCTCGTGGACACCTGATAAATTATAAATTATTATTATTTTCATATCTTCCACCATTTGCTGTCTCCCTTCATACACATTTTTGTTATTCATTCCTCTCAGTGGGGGGGGGGGTGTTTTTTCATTTTTAATGAACTCTGTATATGCCTTTTTCCCACTTAATTAGGTCATTTGTTATTCTTTTGTTAAAATATTATGTGGATTTTTGTAATTGGAGCCTGGTCTGATGTGGCGTTGATAAAATTTTTTCCCCAGTCTGTGGTCTCTCATTTTACTCTTTTGATGAAGTCTTTTGATGGATATCAGTGATGTAAGTTCAGCATATTCCAGTCATCTGTTTTGTATTCCACCGTGTGTGTTTTCTTCATTACTCTATATATTTATTTTATGTAAAGTATCACATATATTTCTTTATATATACATTATAGTCTTATATATGCCCTGCATTCGGTCCATTACATTTTTTTTCCAGCTTTCTCCTTGATGATCCTGATAGCTCTGGTGTTTATGTTTAGGTCTTTAATCCATCTTGAGTTCGTTTTTGTACATGGGTGATATAAGGAGGTACCCCCCAAAAACAGATTTGCGGTGGGCAGAACTTTGGTCGTATGCATTTTTCCCACTGGATGAGAATCCAGCAACTAGCTCTGAGTTATTGCACCCAGTGGCTTCACCTGGCAAGGTTCTCTCTGGTCACAGTGAATATTTTCATAAAAGCAATGTCGCTTGTATGATGTTGACTAAGAGTAATGATAGGGGACATCTTTGTCCGTTCCTCGTTTTCAATGGAAATGCTTCTAGCTTTTCCCCATTGAGTATGGTATTTGCTGTTGGTTTTTCATGTATGGTTTTTCTTATGTCAAGGAATTTCCCTTCTAGTCCTACT